ATGGAAACCATGATGCACCAACCTTCTCCGACGGACCTTTGTTTCTGAAAAGATCAGCGTCTCGGAAAAAAAATACAGAACTGGCTGCTGCAAATTTGCAATGCCGCCTCTTGCTGGTCACTTCATGTAAGCCATAGATTTGATAACATCACGGTACTTGACATGTGTGGATATGTTTAACACCACTGTTTTGTCAGATTGCGTTTGAACTACACTGTGTTCACTGCGATTTGACATCCAGCAACACAGCAGGGGTCCGTTCAAATAAACCACACGGCAGATTTCAATGTCATTTCCAGCTGCCTACGGCTTCAGCTTTTGTGATTCTGATGTGGTGCATACGCATGGAATAAATATATCTGGAGTTAGTCTTTGAATTGAATAGACTGTAGAGTCCTATATAAAGGCAGACTTCTACTTCCACTCTCCAATAAACCGTTTTTAAAACTATTAAATACAAGATTCTGCCATATTTTCAACTACTTCTCATAATGTTGTATAAATCTGAGTACAGACCAGGTACTGTTATTTAAACTGAAATTTAGTTAATTAGTTGGGATATACATTATGCAATAATCATGAAATAAAACAATGCTGAATTTACCTTCTGATTCTGTATAGTCGTAAATGGCTATTTAATGCTCGACTATTACTGTTTTTTTTTTTCCCCACATGCATTTCTCATAAGTGTTTGAGCTGCTTTGGGTTCTGTTTGAAATTTTACTTGATTCCTGTAAAGTGTTTAGAAAAGTGCTGTGCATATAAAAATTATGTCAGTACAGATCGTTTAATTTCTTACTTATAGACTCCTTAGTTCAGAACTAGTTTACTGTAAAAGTTTTCAAATAAAGTTTGAAATTATTTTTAATCATTTGGGAGAGAAGGGGAAATCAATAAAGACAAGTTTTAACGTTTTAGAAAACAAAATAAAATTGTAGCTGTGAGGTAGAGTTTCAGTTTTGCTGCTAGAAAGTGCAGTTTGATTGCATAGCAGTTAAGCTGAATGGTGTCCTTCACTGTCTCCTGCCTGCCTGGGTGTCTCACATCTGCAGCGTGAGAGACATAAGAAACAAGTTGGATCTAAAAAGTTGCCTGTGATCGCAGAGAAAGACAAGATTATCAATAAAACACAAATTTAGCGCATAGCACACAGCAGAAAGCCATTCATTTAGAGCAATCTGCCAAATCTCCCGTTTAGAGTGGTAGTAAAAAAAAAAACTTAGCCCCCCAGAGAGAAAACTGTGGTGAGTGGATCCAAGCTTCAGGGTCTCCGATTGCTGCTTCTTCTAATCATTTGCCAGCATGCCAAACAATATTTTGGCAGCACTCCGTATGGGGAAAAAAAAAAAGAAAAAAATTGTAATCAACATCTCTTGGAGACGTCGGCTTCATCACCTCAGTTTAACAATAGACGTCAAGAGTTTAATGTCCATATAAGAGGGCTAAAAGAAAAGCTGGAGAGGAAAGAAGGAAATTATGTATCCACACATTAATGATAGGTCAGAAGGGTTCTTCCTCAACAATCTCAGCTGAGGCATGCTGCGCACTGACACTGCATGACGCCATATTATGTAGTCACAAAGGCTGTTTTTTTTTTTTCCTCCTTAGTTCTGTGAGCATGAGTGTCCATCTGTATCCAAATCTGTTTGTCACTGCGTGAGTGTGGCATGTCATGGATTCAGGGAATGCAAGTTGGAGGATGATCTGAATCATGCAGATAATACTTGTAGATCACCATGCACTCACTGACATGAGCCAACAGAGGACCCTTATATTCACTTGGGGATCACAACTGCCAGGAAATACAAGAGATTCCCTCTAAAAATGTTTGAAACTGCAAATTAAAACCGCTTGTTTTAATTTGGCTCAAATCTCCGAGCTAGATTTGAGCCAAATCTAGCTCATAACATAACTATATGCACAACGTATTGCTACATAAGTATTGCTAAGACTACCTCTATTGCAGTAGTCTTAGTACTACCACAGTCGCTAATATCCACAGTGTTCCGCATCTCTGCTCTAGGACTCAGAATGCTATTAATCACGATTAATAAATTAATTCAATAACTGTTAACTAATTTAGTAATCACTTCATCCTTAACTGGCCTCTAGAGACTAAAAAATAAAGGCAATTTCTTAAAAGAACCCAACACTCAGAGCAGTAATCAGGCCAAAACACAAAAAGTTGTTTCATTGTGTTTTAGGCACAAAAAATGTTTGATTTTAAAAGGAAATTGATTTCCTCTTTTAATGTATTTTATTTCTTTATTTCACTGTATTTCTAATATTGAATAAAACAATTCAATTTGTTAAATAAAACAGCAAAGTGAGACTATATTTTAACCCAATTAATCACTTAATGATTAATTAACTACTAATCGTTAGTTGTAAAAATATAAATTCAAGTTATAGTCCACAGAGAAATCGCCTCCCAAAAAAAAAAAAAAAAAAAAAAAATGGAATAGTCAAAGACCAAATGTAAATCTAATTGAAAATGAATGAAAAATGTTCAAGCTTTTTCAAAAATAATGAGGGATGAGGGGCAAATGCAGTTTCTAGATGTGAAATGCTGACAGAGACATTCAAAAAGGCTTTCATCTCAAACTGCAGAGAAAAATAACTCAAAGCATCAACTCAGTGGGGCTGATTGTTAATGCCCACCACACTTTTCAGATCTTCATTTTTAAAGCTTTGTTTTAAACCATGCATTAATTTTCTCCTGTATACTATTCTGTATTTTTCTAACTCATAACACCCAAAAATGTAGATCAAAATTTGTGGATGTCATGTGAACATGATGAATGAATGAACATAATCTGGGGGTATGAATACTTTAATAAGGCAATCCAAGTATGGCAGCGTGAACATTGACATATGCATGTGGTAAGAGATTGCAGAATTGAACAGAAAGAGCACTGAGTTTGTTTTATGCAAATCTTTCACTCTTCACCAAGACGTTTTCATTTGTAAACACATTCCTGACCTCCTGAGTGTTGGTCCCCTTTCCTGTTTTTATTACTGCGCTTTATCAATTTGCTTCAGGCAAGACGTGTTCATAATAATTACTTACTGGATGTAAAAACATTTGCAATAACAAACAGATAAAAAAAAAGAACTCAGCATGAGCGTAAATTCTTCCCACATGTGCTACCCACTATTAATTAACCCATATTAAAAACTAAATTTTTGTTAGCCATCAATTTATTGCCTGTAATGCAGCTCAACGTGGTTATGAAATGAAATATTGCATTTATATCACTTTTCAGGACACTTAGACTATTTACATAAAATCCTCATGCACACTTTCACACAATGATAATGGCAAGCTCCTGGATTGTATATTGCGCTATTGGCTGTTCTGACAAACACCACCAGGCAAGTTGAGTGAAATGTCTTCCTCAAGGGCACAACAGACACAGGTGAGGCAGAAGCTCAAACCAGGGACCCATCAATTGCTAGACAGTATATAAGGCCACCATCACACATAAGGGCAAAATATCCCCGAGGTATTGGGATTGGAAGTTCAAACAGCTCAATTACAGAATCATAGAAAGGCGTTCATCTAACAGGTGCAGTCTATAAACAAGGTTTCTGAAAGTTTCACCAAATCAAATTCCAGACTTTTTAAGACCTGTTCAAGACCATCATGAAGGAAATTTAAGACCTATATGTCTTTGGAGAAATAGGTCTTAAATATATAGGACAAAAAGCTAGCCATCTAGCTAGCAAGGATGTTGGCAGTGAGTCACAGACAATGAAGACGTCTGCTTGACTCAAAATTTTGCCTGACAGAATAAGTGCAACAAGATGCCCCAAATGGCCAATAAGCAGCCGTTTTTGTAATATCACCCGTAGTACAAAGGAATAACAAGCACTTGGTAAAACAAGGATTTAAATGTTCATAAGGCATCTTGCCAAGTACTAAGTCACTAGAGAAGTGGTCAGGAGTGGTCAGCTCTGCAGGTGAAGCCTTAAAAACAATTTGTGAGTGCACTTGATTAATTGATGAGTCAGATAATAGAGCATAATTGATTAAGAGCACCTGGCTCATGCTTGGGCTTTTAATTCCAGAACAACCCCCAAGTTCACAAACATGAGGGTTAATGGGAATATCAGACCTGGTGCTAAAGCAAACCACTCTCAGTCCCATCGCTGCTCTTTAAGGTTCTGAAAACACATATCACGAAAACAGAAAAAGACTGTTAAAGAGGCACAGCCTGAACCTTAAGCTTTTAGAAATCAATAGCTATATAGTGTTTAAAAAAAAAAAAAAAAAAAAAGATTTCAGAAGGGTACGTTTTTGTCCAAAGAAAAAAGGCCAGGTGCTCTAGCAACTCCTAGTGTTTATCTAGGCACATCGCAGACCACAGAACATGGACTGAAACCTAACAATGTTTTGGAAATGTGTAATTTGTTGCCAACATGATTTATTGGCGTTGTAAAAACAAGCTAATCTGCAAACAGTTTCTATTGCTTTTCATTTGTCTGTTTTCAGCTAGCATTAATTGAGTTTAAAAATGTTGACGTATTGACTGGTTTATAAGCTTGCAAGATCTCTAGGAAGTCTTTCGTAGATTCATAGCCCTGAACAAGCTTCCACATTATTTTTTGTATGACTTCAATGTGATTTAGACAGCCGTGTACAACATCAGGATTCAGTGCCAGCTTAGTTTTCTAACCGGCAAGATAATTAAATTTGCCAATGAACCGTATTTTTTTCCTGCAAGAAATCGAAAAAATGTAATTGAAAGAAAAAGACTGGTGGGGATTAGATGATCCTTTCCATTTGCAGCATAAAACCTTCCGTATGATAAGGCTAAGTCCTGCTTCGGGGGAATACTTACCTCACATTTAATAAAATTAGATGTGGCATCAGAATGTGTCAGAGTTTATATGAGGTCTTGGGGGAACTCAGCAAACTGTGGTGAAACACACTTGGATCTGCAGTGTGTGTACGTGCCGATGTGTGAACTGTAGAGTTCAGAGGACAATAAACTCACCCCGGCTGCAAAACCCAAACTTCCATCCAAGATCCGCTTCTGAACAGATAAGAAAAAGAGAATGAGCGCAAGTCAGATAAATCAATATGTTGAAACCTTGACAACATAAAAGCAATAGTTCAGTTAAACTGTTAGTGGGCACAACATGTCAAAAATTGCTTCGATGTCTACAGAGTCAAATGTTAAGACTGAAAAGGCAACAACTTTAGAAGCAAAACCACTTAGTCAACAGAGGGATTTCTCACGTGATGCGACAACAATGTCAACAAATCAATAGAGAAGCTAGCGACAGTAGTTTAAAAAGTGTGTAATTTGAGAACCAAAAAGCCTAAAAGTAGAAAACATTGACCAAGTATACATACATCTTTCCTTTCACAGGTAAAAGCACAGGAGCGAGTGAATGTCATGGAGCTTTTCGAAGAATCCCTTTCCAACTATTTGTTTTGGAAAATGGCTCCTTTTTCAAAGAGTTTTGACTCACTGAATTTAAAAGGTCATATTTTTAAAAAAAAAATAGTATTTCAAGTTGTAGCGGAATATCTTTTGCATAACGCTTTGTTCAGGCTTGTTGAGTAGAAGAAAATACTTGAGGTTTGGGTTTATAACATTAGAAAATAATTTTTTTTAGCGTGTGTGTTGAGCAGCAGAGTGCAGGCTAGCTAATACAGTCTGACTAATTAACTATGTAAAACTGGCTCATCAGGACTTTTTTTTTTAAAATAAAACTACAACGTTCAGTTTTATTAAACCATTTCCATGGTTTAATCTCTTGACCATAATGGTATTGCTTTTTTTTAAATCATCCTTGAGAGCTGGTATCTTTTACCAGCCCTCTTCACTTCAAACCATATTTCAATTCAGAATTCAAAGATTTTATTAATTTATTTATTTATTTGATATTACTTTTGTTCAACAACGACACAAATATCTCAAATACATATTTTCATATAAGGGGCAGCAAATTTGTTAGTAGTACTGTTGGCTTGCACCAGGAAGTTGTTGGGGTCAAATCCTGGATTGTGGTCTTTCTAAATTGAGTTTAAAAGTTTTAACCATGTCAAGCATCAATGCAGATATTTCAGATCATCTTAGATTGTACCAGAACTTCACCAGCAAAGCAGCTTACCAAAATGATCTGATGATCTGTTTAAAAATTATAGAATGTGTCAAATATCTTAACAGAAGGGAAGAATAATTAATTTGAGTCTATGTGTATGCATAAGCAAGATGCATACTTCTACCTAATGCATCATCTTATCATCACACTGACAGTTGTTTCAAGTGTTAGCCAATTTTTTTCTAAATGACAGGATCAAACTGTTCCATAACAGATTATTAAACACTTAATTAAAGAAGACAGGAAACAAAATAAGCGGGTTATCTTAATTGAAAATATGGGACAGTTTTGACTATCACATAAAATCCCCATGAAATAAAAAAGTTCAAGGGATAGTACTTTTTCAAGACACAGCATATGCTTTTTTTTCTTCGTGCACAACTGAGACATGTTTTGGTTATACACAAGTAATTTGAAGAATCAACAAGTGTTTCACATTTCTCATGAAAAGTAAATTATTAACCGTTAAATTGATGGCAGAAACGGTGAAAACAGGAAGGACCCTTGACTGATCAGAAGATTTAGATCGAAGACTTGCTGGGGCACCTTTGATCACATTTTCTTTGTCATGTGTTCGGATTCTATGACCATTCTGTCAGATGATTGATGGCGGGCTTCATCAATGTATCTGAGGTTCTCCAGAGGCAACTCTCTAAAGGAACTCCAATTTTTGATCACTGGGTTTTTACTCGCAAGCCCGACCGAGGTATTTTACATTCCGTCAATTTACAGAAGGACATCAGAATGGAGCCTGCACTAAAGATCAGGTGTCTACATGATGCATTTCATGCTTTTTAATCAAAAGATCCGTTAAAAAAAAAAGCTTTTGCTTTGTTATTGAGCTTGGAATGCACAGTAAAGTTATTAAAGTAATTTAATATAGGAAAACTAAAAAAGAACAGCTGAAAGGGTAGGAAACCTCCATTTGGCTGTATGAATAAATTTGTATGCAAAGTTAGGCTGGAATATGTAAGCCATGCAGATTCAGGAGAAAAGTTTGAAGAGTTGTTGAGGTCTCTGATCACATAGAAACAATTCAGCTATTATTTGGCTTGCAAAGCTGAGGTGTAACATGCTAATCAAGGAGCTTTGGAGCTGCTAGCTGGAGGATTTTGTGGGTAGGGAGTCAGGGACTGCATTTGCTTTGCATTCTGTTTTTACATTAAGCCATAAGCTAACTTGTTCCAACCTTCAGCTTTGCATATATGCATGACTAATACCCCAAACATTTTCAAACTCTATCAACTGAAAATAGAAGCTGCCAGTGTGTACCTGTCGGCTGGAGAAGATGAAGACGAGGGCGGCTCCCGCGGCGGTCAGACCCCAGGTGAACAGAGTGCCCAGCAGGGCCTGGATCACAGGGCTGTAGCCTTCCAGCATGGTGCCACACCTGGCAAAGCAGGATGCAAAGTCAGTCTCTAACCAAACCACCATTATGCTGCAGTCGCTTTAGCAACCGAGAAGATTATGGTGCTGATAAGTTCTCCTCTAAGGCTAAAAGACATTATCTTGGCAATGTACTGAAGCTTTTGCCATTTTATCACAATAAGGTTTAAAATGTCAAGGCTTTTTATTGATCAATCAACACAAAGTGGTGCACAATTGTGGAAGGAACATTATATGCGATGCTCAAATTCTTTATGCCTTTGTATTCACCCAACTGAATGCTTTCCAGAACTTTCTTTGCTACAGTTCCAGGTGCAAGTCCTTATACATTTACAGACTGGCATTTTTGTCTATTCTTTGAAAAACAACTGAACAGGCTAGTTGTTTAGCTCAGTGGTAAAGCAGGTGAAGCACATAGAGAAGCTATAGGGTGGACCCCGAGTATTTTTAAGGGTTAGGGACCACCATTGTCTATGCGAATACCAAAAAACACTTAAATCTACCTACTTTAATTGTTCAAACATTAAATATGTCTTGATATCCCCAGTGCAAACTGTTTTAGCATAACATATACAGTCTTTCCAATCAATGCCATTTTTGAATCAAAAGATGTTCCTAAATCATTGTGACCCTAAAAATCAGATTTGAATCAAAAGACACTGAAAGATTCGCACCTCTAGTTGTGGTTCATGGCAAACAGCAAAAGGAAACTTCAAACAGAAAATTTGACTGACAACTCCAACATCAGCATGTGTGTCCTGAAACCATCCGTTTCCTGATCCAGGAGTCGTCCTTTAAGACTGTTTCACCAAATTAAGATGTAAACAAGCATGAAAATCCTGTTTGCTGTGGATTACAATATCCTGCCCTTCTTTATTTGCTTCTCTGTGACCACACCCACAGTGGACCGACTCCCGGCTTTGTAGAAATCCAACAGAAGTGACAAATCCAATATGAGGTAGGAAAATGTGCGGCAAAACACTTGCAGTTTGGTCAAGAAGTTTTTACTTTTACTAAAAAAAAAAAAAAAAAAACTTTGAATAATTGTTGCCCCTTTGTTTGTTTTTGCATTTTTCTCAAAAATTCTGACAAACAAAACAAAAGGACAACAACAAAAAAAACAGTTTAACAGAATGATGAAGCACCAATTAAAATTTCAAATGTCAATCTGCAGAAATCTAAATGATTAATTTGGTTAATAAAGCTCATCCCACTTTTAGTAATAATATATTAATTTTTTTGTAATGAATCCATTAATCTCACCATATTAAAATGATATACTTGACACCAAAAGTTTATATACTCCAATTAAAAAGACAAACGCCTTTATTTTTCACTGTCTGAAGTTAAATCAGAGCAAAATTCTCATTTTTTAAGTCAGTTACAAGTAAATTAATTGCCTTTAAATATCAGAAGCCACGTGCTTTAATCCAGATTTTAACCCAACCTACAGTAAGAATATTTACTTTGCAATAGTTGTAACGGCTGATTTTATAATGACAAATGCTAACAGCTGTGTGTCGTTGCTAACTTAATGAGGCTTCGGTTAAAGAGGAATAAAATGTAGGTGACAGCTGTCATTTTCGATTTAAAAGCTCAAAGGCATTTATATTCATTCATTGTTTAAAGGCGCCATTAGGGCAGCTTTACTGTGGCGACATAAATTCAAAAGACTCCTTTAAAACTCGTCAATTTGCCTTGGTGTGTTTCGAGTCCTAACGGAGAACGTAGAGGCTTCTGGCTTCTTTTCTTTTATTACCAAGACTGGATAAATGAGGAGCATCCGAACAACCTTACAATTCTTACTCTTGCCAGACAATACTGACAGGATTTCGTACACGACCACTACTTTTAATAACAGGGAATAATGTGTTTTAATTCGGCTGAATTTGTTTCCCGAAACTGTTCACCTTTTTGGAAGTTTTTCAACAATAAAGTCGACCATACTCACTTTCGACCTGTAGCTCTGTGGACTCCTCTGTATTTACTTCCTATTTCCCAGATCACGTGTTAATGACAGCTGACGCTCCGCCCCCACTGGCAGCCGATTGGCCAGTTCATTGACGGCGGGAGTTTTTGCTTTTGATCGAAACTAGATTAATAAAATTGTACAAAAACACCTCATAAAGCGAATTTAGAATTATATTAGTAATAAAATCTATTACACGTTGATATAGTTAAGCGAAACTTAATAAATAAATAAATTTAAATGAAGTATACTGTTCAATTTGACAATATACGCTGCACTTAAATTAAATCTCGTTTTAAAAGCTTTGGGGTCTATTTACATGTTACTTAAGCAATAAACACTGAAGAAAATACCCAATGAAAATAAACAAATACAAGAAACATGAACATGGCAGCAATTACTGGTAAAAAGGAAATACACACCCACTGGCCACTTTTGTTAGGTACACCTTACTAGATCTAGATTTTTGATTTTTTTTTTCCATTTTAAAGGAGCCTTAGCTCTTTGTGGCTTAGATTAAATAAGGTATCAGAAACATTTCTTAGACGTTTGGGTTGACATTAATCTAAAAGTATGCAGTTGTTTTAGACCAGTAACTCATTTTCATGTCCAATAAACCATTTGCAGTAGTGTTTGCTGCCAGAAACGGTTAATCCTTTAATGCGTTTTGTCAGTTGTTTTCCTTTTTTTTTTTCTAAAACTTATTTTTTTATCCCTCTTTTTAAATAGGTTTTTCTTGTTTCACCAACAGAGAGAGAAAACCTGCGCACACACATTTAAAAACAAGCAGATTCAAGATGAATCCAATTTTGATCGGGTTGTACGAAATTATCAGTCATACCATCTGAATGCTGCTAATGAAATCGAGTCATCAGAAGTGTTACTGCAGTATTTGTCTCCCTAACACCTCACATGTTGTTGGTGTTGTAAGAAAACAGGACTATTGTAGATTAAATGAGTTTTTATAATAACAAAAATGTGACAGAGCATTAAATGATCTTTAGTGATCACTTATTTACATTTCCTGTTTCTTCTAAAAAATTTGAAGACTTTAAAATATAAAAAGGACCTGAGATTTTTACTTCTGCTTCTGTTTATTTTTGGATATTTTGCACAGCAGTGATCCGGGCTGTCTTGAACTTTGACCCGCGGACCAATTCAACACATTTTGAGCTTTTTTGTGTTGTCATTCAGAATTTTCTGTTTCTAAAGCACGGAATCTCCACCGAGCTGCAAAATTCAGATCTTGCACCACATCTGATTTGAGCTACTTTTATGGCTGACTCATTGGTCTGAATGGTTTTTATGCAACATACCAGCCAATTAACAAGGACAGTCTCCAGAACAATTTGTGTTCTTTTTTAATAAAAGACACAATTACCTAAAAGGGGTTGAAACATTTCTGGGAAATGTTTATGAAATAAGACGTCTTATTGTTTTCTGGGGAAACATTCTTTTTTTCACAAACATTTCTAAAATGCTTCACAGTCCTCATTTTGTAGTTACCGAAGCTGCTGGGGGTTGAAGGGAAAACAAACTCCACAAAGCTGTGTGCGTTCAGCCAGAGACGTTCAGCCTATGAAAGGAGCATTCCTGCTCCAACGCATCTGATAAATAATACAGTATGTGGATGTAGCCATATGGCCTCCTCTTTCTCATACTTAACATCAGCTAAGGAGAACAGACTAACAGGAATAGCTTCACTGACGGATTAAAAAGTTACGCAACATGCTAAGCACTCAAAGATTCTGCGGTTCAATTGATGTGACGCTGCCCATTTTCCAGTTCACTCTTTATAAATGTTAAAAGAAACGCCTTAAATAACTTGAACATTTCAGTTGTTCATCCAAATATTAGCATTTTGTCACCTCTGTTGCATTGCTGCCAGGTTTGGCAGCAATGCGAGTGGATCGTTTTGTGTTGTCCGAAAAATAGACATTTAAGATAGAGGGAAAATAAAGATGCACCGGGAAAGGTTATTTTAGTTTGTTTTATTCGTTCTAGTTCACAACAGCAGTCATCTGTGGTGTACGGCTATTTGCATATAGAGCTTTGTACTGCCTTGCCGGACACATCACGTCAGGGATGTGTGTAGACAAGAGAGGTGTTAGCTGCCCGGTACAAGTCCTGTGGGCATGAAGGAAAGGCCAGCGACACCGATCATCTGTCCATGTGGGATTGTTCGATGACCCTCGACCCCTGAGGCAGGTTGGACTTCTTATGCGGCCGTAAGAAATGCAGGACAAAGTACTGTTCCAATGTTGAGTGCTTCGTCAACAAAAGGTTCAACATGGGGCCGAGGAAGAACTACAGATCAGTCATTCAAAGTTATTTCCTGATCATTTGAAACAGAAAGAAGCCCCACACACAGTCCGAGAGACTTGTCAAAAGTCTGAGTGAGGATAAGAGCCAGCAGGAAGAGAGTTTATGTTTCTTATTTAAATGACCATCTGAAAGCATTAAGGCGACGACTGTCGACAAAAATAGTTTTTTTTCCCCCCCAAAGCCAGAGAGTCAGCCTCTCTTCCTTTTCTTATCAGGGAAGGCTTTGTCTGATTCTGAAGCCTCTTCATCGTCCATCCTCCTCTTCCTGACGTCGCGATCCCACTGTAAATGATGAGGCAGAACAAGTTTTGCTCTCTTTGGTCACTGCTGTAAAGCGAAGCCAAAACGTTTTCTATTAGCATCTTACCCATCAGCACAGTTAGCATCACTAAATGTAAAAAATGGTTTCTACTAACAAACTTAAATCCATCATGTTCCATGACACACAGAGGCTGAAAGCCCACTAGCAGAACAGCAGAGCTCTGCCATAATTCATTTTATCTTCATATTTTTAAAGCAAGGGTTTCCAAACTGTTGCCATTTGCAGATCACAGTGATTTTGTGTGACTCCTGATCACATTTCACAAATGATGCAGATGGTCCCTTTTTTAAAAAAAAATGAGAATGAGATGTTTTTCTGATAAATTCATATATTCTTAAATGGAAGAAGTTCAGAACAAAAAGTAATTTTCTATAATTAGTCATGTTTTTGCTTCTATTTTTATACCACTAAGTAGGGCCTAAACATCCACCAACTTTTTACTCAAAACAGACATTTATTTGACTTGGGTAACTACATCACGGGTCTCCTTTTCTATAAACAGACTAAAAACCCTTCTAGACCAACCATGTCACACACATTCAATCCAAAATGCCAGGAAATGGTCGCCTTCCTGTACACAAATCTCTACAAGTCATACCCATTATAATTATTTCTTACTTTGGTTCATTAGACAAACAAAAAAAAAATTTGTAAAAGCGCACGCGAGGTCAGTGCAACCCCGCCGGACTGCGCACAGGGTAAAAAACTCGTGGGATCCAAAGGACCCCATCTCTTAAGACCGTGGGAGATTTAATGAACAACATGGACCAACTTTTAAACTTTAAATGTTCAAAGTCTAACTATTTGTGTTACACACAAATCTTACTGTTACGGTTTATTCTCCTCTTCTTTGCTGAGGTTTCATCCGATTTCATCTATGTCACAACATCATCTCTTTGTCATTTCTGTGAAGGTGACATTGATGGGCTCGTCTGTGGACATGTCATCTCCACATCCTCACATTCCTTTCTCCTTTTAGCTGGGATGGCGTCTGGGCTTCTACAGCAAGTTAACCAAACGACTGTTCAGATATTTTTAGTTGTGCTACTTTCACAATTCGAGAGCTTCTCCCAGTTTCTTTGTAACAACAGAAATCAATCAACTGACCTGTTTCCAGATTCTGCGTTATCATTTTGGTCTATTTTTGTTTTACTGCCAGCACTGCTGGAGGACTTCTCACTGCAAAAAGGCAAGGTTAGTCCTTATCTGTCCACTGCAGAATATGTCCCTAAAAACAGACACACTTACTGGATGCGATTGTCCGCCAGACGGCTCTTGGCGACAAACGGATGCAGAAGAATTTCACTCGGTGAGATCCTTTTGGCTGAATCCACCTTCAGCATGTCTGCTACCAGCTTGACAAAACTATCTCGCTCCCTTTCACCTGCATTTTCATCTGACATGTTTTCACGCAACTGATGTGGAACGAAACAGAAATTGTGAGGAAATGGAAGCATCATCAAGTTCAAGCTTGAGTTCCTTAAATGTCCCACCATGTTGAGGAAATTCAGAGTCCTCTGTGGAATGCAGTTTACGTTTCTTATTTCAGTGTCTTTCTGTAAAATTAATGGCGACATGAGATTTGTTCAAAATACATGGCGAAACGAAGCACTGATGGTCAGGAATGGCCACTCAAAGATTACCCTCAATGTCCACTGGCCACATGGTTCCTCTTCTCCATCATTTTTGATGAAGAATTGCATGGTGTTCAGGCCTGAATTTAGCAGATATTCTGGTGGATTTCCAAAGGCGAGGACAATGCGTTTCATCTGAGGGCACAATACAGATGTGATTCACTCCAGATGAATCAAAAGAGTTAAATCAAACCTCTTTCCTTTTTTTTTTCAATCCGCAATTGGAAGTGGAGCTTTGAAATACAAGATTTGTTGTGTATTGGAGCCAAAACAATGATGTCAAGTCTTTGTTGTGGATCCCCTTGGAATGTAATACTAACCATTTCGTTTTCATCCTCTCCAGGGAACAAAGCAGAACCTGTAAACATTTCCACAACAATGCAACCCAGGGACCAAACATCTATCGCTCCACTAAAGGCAGCTCCCAGCAGGACCTCTGGACATCTATGAGAAGACAAATAGAGAAATTCCGATGTAATGAATATTAAACACCTGACTGTTTCCTTCTGAGACTGATGGGAGAGATCTTACTAAATTTTTGAAGATAGGTTCTGCAAAAATGTAAAAAAAACAAAACAACAAAAACAAAACAATAGCAAAGCAAAATAAAAAAAATAAAAACGACAGCTAACCAAAGAAATCCAGAGAATTCAGCTAACAGAAGGGCTAAAATACAATCTTGAAACAAATTTGGCCTCAGTAACATTTGTGGTTTATGCTAGTGCCAATTTATCAACTTTTAAATTCTCTTTATATTTAATTGGGCTTTCATTTACAAAAAAAAGCTAAATTAAAAATAAAATTTTACAGCTGCTAGCACGATACAGTTTGGTCAATTTTTGCACAGCCATATTTTTGTATTGGGTGGTTACCGTTATCCAATTATGTGTTGTGCCACCAGTACATGTACCATGAACAACAATCATTATCTACTTTTAAATATGATTTGGTCTTGGTTCCTGATGGGCTATCCATTAGCCTAGTTAGCATTAGCATTAGACTTAGCTGTAGCCTAAAAAAAAACACCTAATTTTGATTTTCACAAAATGAAAACACCATTCAGGACAGTTATCTGACGTTGTCATAATATTCATTTATGTTACCTTTTAACAAAACTTCACTTGAGGTAATCTGTGATCACTAACTGTTGTGATTTGTAGCAAGTCAGAGAAATCAATGTGTAGTAAGTACGACTCCTCCTTGTTTCCTCCTCATATTCTCAGCTGTCCAAAGTTACAGAAGAGTCAGAAGTTTGGTACCTGTACCAAAGGGTTTGAAGAACTGCTCCTTTCTGCTCCTCTGGATTTTTTAGCGCCAAACCAAAGTCAATGATTTTGACCGTCGCAGGTTTTTGTTCTTCATTCACAATCATGATATTTTCTGGCTTTAGGTCTGCATGAACGATCCCCACACTCTGAAGAAAGTCCAGAGCTGTGGCCAGCTGCGGGCAAGTATAAATATGAATTCATTTAATGAGTTTAGAAAAAGAACTGGTCTTCATTAATATATTCAAATACTAAAAGATGATCTCAATGGGAAAAACAAACATTCCATACATCATTGTGAATCTAACACCAACTTTTTTTGGTTTTTATTTCTACTTTCATAACTGAAACAGGGCCTCAAGGTGTGTGCTGTAGTTTGTTGCACTGCTGCCTTGTAGAAAAAAGGTTCTATCTATGAATGCTTGGATTTTCTCCTGGTACTCTGCCCTCCTCACTCAGTCCAAAAACTTGACTGTTGCCTCCACTGGTCTTTCTAATTTACCTTTTGGAGAGAGTGTGTGCGTTTCTGTTTTGCCTTGTTGTGGACAATTAACCTGTCCAGGTCAAACCCTGCCTCTCATCCCAGTCACCAGTGGAAATAGGCACCAGATCCTCTCCCCTCTCCACCAATCAGTCCACAACCCTGCACAGACCACCAACCTGGTGCACGATGGGACAAATTTCCTTTTGTTCCAGGGAGCGATGTGGCTTCTTCCGCAAGAAATCCGTTAGATTTATATCCAGTTTCTCAAACTCCATGTAGTAACATCCCACATGGGTGAAGGAGTCATTCAACATGACGATGTTGAACTTGTCTGAGCCAAGTCCCTTCAAGTACTGAAGTATCTCCACCTGATGAGTGAATTTTATCAGGTTTAATTTGAGCTGAGCAGAAAATGCTGGTGTTCACTATTAACAAGCAATTTTGGTGGACATAAAAAAACAAAACAACCAAAACAAATAAAGTTATTTAAACATTTGTCATATTGATTTGTAAATGTAACATCCAATAACTTCTAAACTGACAAAAATCAAATCTTGCACGAGAATTTGACTAAAGATCGAGGTTGGTTCAGTTCCATTGAGTTTTCTCTGTCTCTGCTGTTTGTGGCGTTTAAAACAGCAAAGACAGCAAAAGCACCTGAAGCACATGATCACAACAACATCTTTTTATCATGCTGTCCACAACCGTTCCTAGGACTGAGAAGAAGCTCATATGATAAGCTCAGCAGAAAGATTCTGTACTGAAGTTTGTAGCCAGCTTTAAAAAAAAAAATGCTATGATGTAACCCGACCACAAATCGGGACCTCGAAGGACGCAGGCCCTGAATTCGGACCCAGCTTCTGGTAACTGAGAGTGACTGTGACTGACATAGCTGTGGTTGTCAGGGATACGGAGGGTTGCAATCTTGTTGAGTTAATTTAAAAGAAAACATAAAGATCAAGGTCAATTTGACCTGATCTAATTAGTTCGTTAATTCATCACAAACCAATCATTTGCACACATTAGGAGATGAACCAGACAAACAAAATGATCCTATAATGAGGTGGCCTGACTTCATACTGCAAGACTGCCGCAGTAGCCTATTCGTAAAAAGTCATCTATGGTTAATTCAAATGTAACTAATTTAGAATGAATACATTGTAAATTTGATTAAAATCCCCCTAATTAGTAGCTCATATTGTAAATACAGATTAAAATCTAGCCAAGTGTGGTAAATGCAAATCGCAAAAACAATTTCATTGCTCAAATTCAAAAGATTTGCTAAGTCTGAAGCTACTTCTTTCACCTCTTTCTTTGCTATTTCCATGTATCTCTTGTTCTTGATGACTTTTAAAGCCACCGTCTCGTTGGTGGCCAGTTTCTTGCTCTGGACGACCGCTCCGTAGGTGCCACTGCCCAGGTAATGCTCCATCTCGTAGTCCGAGGATGGAGATGAAATACAAATCCCCATCTTCAGAAAGCTTTCAAAAGCTCGCAGGCTTTAAATCTGTCAGCTGAAATTGGAGGAATTGTGAGAGAAAAGTAGAACGGAAGAAATATGATGAACAATAAATTCTGTTTATTAGCTATAGGCGTACAGGAAAGTTCATAAGTAAATATGGTAAATGTAAGCTGAACTGAAATAAAGCTTTCTATCTATTTACAGATAGCTTTTACATAGAGTATGAATTAAATTAATAATTAATAAGCTGATACCAATTACTCTGGAAAAAAGCATCCATTTGTCCCATAAATCAATGTGATGTCATTAAAGTGCCTCAAGAGAAACACAACAAACAAATCAGCAAATAAACTCATAATCTTTGATTTCTGATTTCAGCCTGAAGAAAGGGAAACTTACTGTACGGCTGTTAAAGTCACGTGACCTTGATAGTCGTTTCAAGGGAGATGGATGAAGCGGGGTTTCTCGTCGAAGACGAGCAAATATTTTCTCAAGTCGGTGCATTCGCCAGCAAGGATTGAATGGAAATGTTAGTGAAAAATTCCATTTCTCCTCCAAAAATCTGTCGAGTTCCTGTTCCGTCGCAGTGACTCCTGACATCACAGTTTGTTTAGCCCCTTGGTTTCTGAACCTAAGCCCCTAAAAAAAACCAAAAAAGCAAAAAAACAAAAAAACAATTGAATTAGATAATCAGGTCAGCTGACGAATAGTTTGAATGACTTTGGAGCGTTATATTTGTCCCCAAAGGCTTCAAAGAAAAAAAAGACAAAATTCTTAGTCACAAATTTAGTTTGACATCCACCAGACTTGTAAAAGTGATATTAAAGTTTCCCAGGAGAGAAATCTTCGGTTGACCCCCTGATTTGCTCTAGCACGTTTCGTTGTTGACATTTTAAAATTAGAGTGAGTCACTTTGACAAACTACTGCTGAGTCATGTATTTTGAGCACAAGGTCTGGATGAAAAGAAGTGAGTGCTATTTTAAGTGACTGACTTCCATATGATGTTGCAGGTCATTGTTACAGAATCTCATATTTTGGGATTAATGGAACAGCTTCAAATCGAATTATGAGGTCAAAATTATGCTGAATTTTGACCTGAACTAAATATTTCTTTAGTTTGTACTCGTGAAAACTTCTTTTAAGCCCACGATCAGATCAGTAGTTAATGTCAGCTACAATCACAGCGACCTTGTCGCCTTAAGGCAGTCTCCAGTCCAGAAAGGGTAGAGACCAGAGTTTTGCTCTTCCACATTGATAGGCATTAGTTCCGGTACTCTGATCGTGAACCTCCGTTTCAGAGGTCCAACCAGTACGAGACCCCAAATTAGACCCAGAAAACTTGCCTGATAACACCTCAGGATCTTGTAGAAAGAGTTAGAGAGTTGTTTGTTTTCCTTCCTGGACCTGTTACCCTAGCAACCTGGGCTCAGATCAGTGGAAGACAATAGCTGTCCGAATTCAAGGCCTGCATCCTTCGAAGGATCGGTCTACGTAGACCGGGTCCCTCCACGAATAAACTAATACAGGAAGAGACAAGCTGTGAATTTGGACAGGTCTGGCCTTCACCTCAGTGTAACTTGTGTTGCTTAGCAACCTGGACGGCATGAAGCAGAGAGCAGTGAAGAAAAAAATCACATCGGAGCCAAAGTTTGATTTTTAGTCATTTGTTACTCCTGTATTATTCTGCATTTTATAGTAAATGCTGTTCCATAGTAAAAAACCAAATCTGTTAGTTTGATTCTAAAATGTGCAAACACGCATTGCACCTTTCTACCAGGAATACATATAAGCAAATTTTTCATTTTTTCCAAATATAATATTCTCCAAATCTCAGATAGGACATTCCAGTTAAATAAAACTAAATAAAATGTTTGAAGGCTTAACTTTAATTAGTAGGCCGATTTGCTCATCCTAAATTAAATAAATAGTAAACCAAACATTTTACAACCTGATATCAGCTGTCTGAATAATGTCGGCGTTTAAGTCATTAGCTCATTGGAGAAAGCTAGTGGGAGTTTTTTATTACAATGTACCAGGAGTCAGACGTTCTCCTCCAGTATAACAAACCCGAAGCGCCCGGCCAGCTGACAGCTGGCTGTCAACGCAGCAGAAGCAGACGTGTCCGAAAATGTCAGCGCAGGTCATGTTTTGGTGAACCGAGCAGATATTTGAGACCTAAATGCGTACATTCTCGCCTAAAAACGTACAAAATCACGTTGTGTCATTTAAAGTGTGATATCACAAAACAATTTGTCGCTCTTCACCGCTGTTGCCGCTCTGCGTGAACACCCGGTTGGGGCCCGCAATGAATGATGGGATATGGAGGGCCGTGAAGGATACACCGGAGCCATCCTTCAAATCTGGGTGAAGGAGGACGCATCTGGAGGCCACATTTGAAGGAGTCTTCGAATTCGGACAGGCCTTGTCGCCACGCCATGACATAATCGCCCTTCAAAGGATGCAGACCCTGAATGACTGATTGTTTATTGCATTGTTCTTTGTATGGAACACAAAAGGTGGGATTCTTTTAAAAACTCTTGGTGAATTTGTTTAGAGTTGGGAAGCAAATTTTTACATGATGCGACTAATTTCACGCGTGCTACATACATGTCTTTCTGCAGAAAACCCTCCACCGCCACCCCACCCCCCAACACACACACACAACTTTGGTAACATTTTATGGGATTTTTCTTCTTCTGATTTGCTTTGTCCTTACTCTGTTTCTGTTCAACATAACATTTCTCCAAACAAGAAAACAACATGCTTCAGTTGTTTTTGACAGAGTCATTAGCCCAACACTGGTTTTGAAATTCTCATGACGCCCTTCCTTTGAATTTTCCATGTCTTGTTAATGTTTACATCATTGCCACCCATGGTTGTTTTTTCCACGGTGGAGTATTAGTGTTTATAGCTGCTTAGACTTTTAGAGGGGCAGTAAACAGCCGCCAGCCCAGGCAGGGGATAAAATGTGTAATCGTTTTGATATGGGAATAAATGCAACACAGGTCTCAATAGGAACCCAGTTTTGCCTTTTTCTTTACAAAGGAAATCAGATTTTTTTTCACGTCTGACTGTTGCAGTCATCCCAGACCTCGTTGAGCTCAACGTTACGTTTGCAGTGTTTTGAAGTTGTGAGTTTATCAGAGGACTTTGAATGGTCCCATGCTGTGGACATGACTGCCAGTGTGTCTGCTGAAACACTACATTATTTCACCAAAGTGAAATAATGATTGTGCAATATGACTGTGGAAAAACTTTCAAATTTAGCTCCCCAAAACAAAGTCTTTCTAGTCGTGCTTTTTCATGGGTGGGGAGGGCTTTGTTGAGAATTGGAGTTGTCAGTTCCTGTCAGTAGGTTAAGCAACAAGTCAATTACGAATGCAGACTATAAAGGTGTTTTTCTTCACTTAATTGGAACCAGTTTAACAAGACGCGGATGACAAGTCTTGAGAAATGTGTGAGGAAATTCATATGAGCTGCTCAATTTGTACTTTTCCACATGGTCATGTAATAGAAACAAACATAAGATGGAATGTCACATAATTGCAAAATTAAATGCACATCCCACATGGGTTTTCAGATTTCAGTACAAATATTAATTCTGACACCCTCTAAATACGATTGAGTGTAATCATTCTTGTCAGCATCATGGCATGGAAGCTACATTGAAATATTGAACATCAAAGCATGATTGTGTGTTTGAAGAGTCAAAGTCCAAGACTTGGCAAAAATGCATTTCCACTGGATGATAGTCTCCATCCAGTCGGACTAAATGAAAGCTGGGTCTCCACATATGGAAAACAGACTTGCCAAAATGTGAATTAGAGGTGTGAATACCTTTGAGGGGCAGCGCAGGGTGAGAAATGTTCGTGCTGAAGTGATATGATACAGAATCGCTGTAAGCAGAGATGATGTAAGAGTGTGCTGGAGGATTGTTTGGCAAAAGTTGGGTATTCCAGCTATGCACAGTGACGCAATAACAGGATGTGTGGCCATTCCTCATCCAGCCTTTGATGTACACTACCTCCCTTACCTCCACTTCATCTCTCACTAAAACTTTCCATTCTTTCTCCCCCTTACAAGACAAATAAGGCAGGAGGGCACGAGGATGATGGAAGGAGTCGGAGGAGAATATGTCGCATGTCAAAAAAACAAAACCGCAAAAATAGACTTTTCCTTCCCATCTGCACATTTGCTCAGCTCACAGGCCATAGAGGAGGGTGTTCAGAGCAACGAGATAGTGTTATTATCTGTTCTGGGTTCTGTTGCATGACCCACCGCTGAACTGTGAGGCAGCAAAGAAGCAGGAGCCAGAGGTGGAGGGTGGGGAGGCACAACTGATGGAGGAAAAAGAGGGTAAACTGAAACGAATGTTGATAGGAAAAGATAGTAGAGAAAAGTTATGAAAACATAAGCTCTATGGAAGATGTTTTGAAGGGTTTGTCTTGGAAATGCCAGGGCAGCGAGCCATGGCGTTCATCACAGTCATTGGAGGCTGATGAACAAGAGGAGGGAGGTACATGGGAGGGTCTCCCACACATGGAGCAGCAGACACGCTCCTCACACACCGAGAGGGGAGGAAGAGATATAAAGGGGCTCTCAAGGAAAACGAGTGTTCAGGCAAGCGTCTGAGTCTTCCCCACCCTGCTTCTGAGAGTGTTTGTGAAGAAACTCATGCCGCTATCAGATGAAAAACTTCGTCCTGCCAGTGGATCAAACGAAGTGTGGCAAGCCGGATTCGAATAGATGAGTTGAAGAATCTGAAGAAACTTGCTTGATTTTCAGATTTCTCACTTGAGGTGTTTACTTATCTTCCACGGAGAACTTTTTCCCTCCAAGAGGAAAATCCACTTGAAGAAAACTTTTGTGCTTCCCTCCCTGCTGAAGCTCAACTGTCACTGAGTTTTTATTGTTATTTATATTGTTTCCTTTGCCTCTCTAGACAAGGAGCTGAGACACAATGGAAGCGTCTTATGTTTTTTATGTGGACAGCAATCAGTCGTATGTGGAGGAACATTTATACTTTGAGGACAACATCGACGGCTTCGGCATCACCATGGCTTTCCTCTACCTGGTGGTCTGCATTGTGGGACTGGTTGGGAACTGCCTCGTCGTCATTGCCATTTTGAAACTGGACAAAATGTCATCTTCCACAACGGTGTACATATTCAACCTGGCTTTGGCCGACGGACTGTTCATGGTCGGCCTGCCGTTTCTTGCAAGCCAGAACTTTCAGAACCGGTGGGTGTTTGGGAACACAGCGTGCAAAGTTGTCATGGTCCTGGACGGCATCAACCAGTTCACCAGCGTCTTCTGCCTCACGGCGATGAGCATCGACCGCTACATGGCGCTGGCTGAGCCGCTTCGGTTTGCCTGCTGGAGAACTCCGCGCTGCGCCAAGGTCGTCTCAGCGTCTCTGTGGTTCTTCTCTCTCCTCACCATTCTCCCGATGGCCTTCCATTTCACCGCCGAGCACGGCTTTTGCAGTCCGGACTTTGCCTCGGATGCCTTGTGGCTTGGAGTCCTCTCTTACACCTTCATCATCGGTTTTGCCATACCCTTTACGGTGATGATGGTCTCCTACGCGGCCATGCTGATCTCTCTCCGGTGCCGCCAGAAACTCTCCTCTGC